ACCAAGTAACTTCCTCGATGTCGCAGTTTACCACTGGTATACCAAGGACTGGAACTCAGATTCCCATCTTGTTTTAGTCTCATCCCATCTATTCTATGCCCCCATGTTCTCTCTCTTGTTAACTTTCTGTGATCAGGATGTGGAAAGTCTGGGTGATGTCAGAAAAGGAAAGAGTCAAAGAATTATTACCACAGCAAGAAATCAATTGTTTCGCCTATTTTAAGTTTTAATGAGAGGAAGAAGAATACAAAAGAGTGACCATAAATCCCAGGAAATTCCAGTGTGGAAGAGGGTTTATGGATGTCAGCAAACCCCACCATGCAAGGTTGAATGCACCTTTATCTGTAAGCAACCATGACTGAACATGAGTAAGAACTGTAAGTTGTGGTCAGTCTGAGTCCGTAGGGAGAATCTGCCTTTCTTAACCTCTTCTCGTGATTCTGAAAGGACAGTAGCACAGTTGAGGCTAGAGTGAAATGTGAGATGCACATATTAACTGATGGATTCATTACAAAATATATAGTATATGCATAAAATGAAGTATTATTCCACTTAGAAAAGGAATAAAGTGCTGATACCCACCGCAATGTAGATGAACCCTGAAAACATTACATTCAAGGAAAGAAACCAATCACAAAATATCTAATAGGATTCCACTAGTATGCAATGTCCAAAATAGGTAAACATATAGAAACAGAAAATAGATGAGTGGTTTCTGGAGACTGAAGGGAATAGAAAATGAGGAATCACACACCAAGTGTGTGGTATGTTATTTATATCTCAATGAAGCTATTGTTGAAAAAGTTTATCATAGTAAACTATGGGAGAGTTAGTCTGTCCATTGTATATTAACCTGCACGTCAGTGAAGAAACAATGAAATTTTTCACAAAAGTTATCACAAACTGTGACTTTTTTTTCTTAATCCTTACCAGCTCCTCCAGGTCCAGTCTAGCTGTGAGCACAGCACCTTTGATAAGGATAGTGAAGAGTTCAAGTGTTTGTTAGAAAATACCTGTTTCACGCATTTTGGGGGCAAGGTACTAAAACTGAAACTATTCAGAAAAGATCAGCATGCCTGTGCTTCAAGACTACACACCAATGTGCACAGCAGTGCATGTTATCGAATTTTTATTTTATATGGTGTGTGTGTATGTGTGTGCGTGAGCATCATGGTACACATGTGAAGGTCAGGGAATAATTTCCAGGAGTCAATTATTCTCCATTTACACCACGGTTTCCAGGAATTAAACTCAGGTCACCAGACTTACACGGTAAGCACTTTACCTCCTCTGCCCAGCCTAGTCCACATTTTTCTTAAAGGAGAAAACGTTTTTGTTTCATTCTGACCCTTGAAGGCTAGTAGAGCCATGTGTGTAGAAACAGTTACAGTTTTGCTCCTGGACACTGTGTAAATAAGTGTCCCTTGGTCGTTCAGTCAAACTTCCTCCTCACTGTATCACACTGGCTTTTTGGTCCTGCTTCTATCAGCTGCCCCTACAGATTTTCTTTTTGTTTTTAAAACTTGTTTATTTTTATCTTATTGGTGTTCTGCCCACATGTATGTCTATGTGAAGGTGTTGGATTCCCTGCAACTGGAGTTACAGACAGTTATGAACTGCCATGTGAATGCTGGGAATTGAACCTGGGTCCTTTGGAAGAGCAGTCAGTGCTCTTAACCACTGAGCCATCTCTCCAGCCCTGGATTTTCTTTTCTTAACTCAGGCTCCACTGTGGTTGTTTCCCAACTTTGTTCAACATTACTTTGAATTTTTATCAGAAAAAAAAACACTCTAGATTACAAACCATCTCCATCTACTTGCTGAAATGGAATTTGGGGAATTTTCAGTGCATGTATTCTCCTCCAATGTTACAACCAGAATAACCTTCCATAGGTGAAGAATGGTATTGGAAGGCAAGGATACGGGATTTCTAAATAATTAATAACTTTCTTTCCTTATTTGCCCCTTTCATGAGGGAAAAGTGAAAATTCTGGGAAAGTAAGTGCTGACAAAGAAGAGTCCGCACTTGGCATAACCATCAGAATATCTTCCACCTACAGAGTCCTGGGCCCAAGACTTTCTTCTGGTCAATGAGAAAAAGCCTTGGGGAATATTTTAGCTTCCTAAATAGCTCATAGCTCAGACCTGAGGCTGCTCACTCTGAGACTACACTAGACTGTACACACAAACTCCTAGGGTTAGTGACATTCCATAGTGATTGATTCTGTTCCCTTGAATATCGAAGCCTTTCCCTATATGGAAAGAGCAATCCATATCTACATCTATGTTGAGGGAAAGGGGTGAGCAGAATTACTTTGTCCAGACTTCCATTATTATAAGCTTCAAATATTGGCTGGTGTTCAGCAGCAAATTTGTTCAGTGAGCCCTCAGAGGGACCATTAAAGCTAAAAATAACAAAGCTTTATGCATAGTAGTGCCGTTGTATAGGGATCTGGGGACAGATTTCACATGTTCAAATCCCAGCCCTACTGCTTTCTTTGCTCAGTAGCTTTGGGCCATGTGGTGGTAAGAATAAGAATGGCCCCCATAGGCTCATATATTTGAATGCTTAGACACTAGGAAGTGGAACTCTTTGAAAGGATTAGAAGAATTGCAAGGAATGGCCTTTTTGGAGAAAGTGTATCACTGGGGGTGGGCTTTGAGGTTTCAAAAACCCAGCCAGTCCCAGTGTCTCTCTCTGCCTGCTGCCTACGGATCAGTTACTTCACCAACACAATGTCTGCCTGTGTGCTGCCATGCTTCCTACCATTCTGATAATAGACTTTGAAACTATAAGCAAGCCCCAATTAAACACTTTCTTTTATAAGAGTTGCAATAGAAAGTGACTAAGTGAGGCCAATTACTTAACTTTTCTGTGCCTAAGGTTCCTAGTCTGTAAAATAAGATCAATATGGTCATCCGATTCTCAAAGTTGGTGGTTTTCTCACAAATGCATAAAGCCAAAGCTGTTCAAAGAAGGTATGTTAGACTTTTCATTGTTATAACAATATACCTGACATGAACAACTCAGAATGAAGAAATATTTATTCTGACTCATGATTTCTAAGGTTTCAGTCTTTAGGTCACTGGACCAGTTATTTCTAGATAATAGTGACATGAAACATCATGGCAAATTTGTTCAACTCATGGTACTCAAGAAGCAGAAAGAGACAGACCAAAAGGGACCAAAGTGAGATAGAGTTTCTCCTGACCTACTGCCTCCAAAAATTCCACCTCTAAAGTTTCCAGTGCCTCCCAAAATAGTGCTACCAACTGCTGACCAAGTTTTCAGCATAGGAGCCTATATTTAAGGGTCGTTTCAGATCCAAATTGTAACTGGAGGCCAGCACTATTTAAACCTCTCATTGTTGTGTCCCAGAATCCAAGTCCCCAGCTACAATAGGCCTCTGTGTTCCCTTCAGCAGCTAGAATGGGGTCAAGTGGTGGCCCTACATGGTCATGTAGCCAGCTGATCTCCATGAGGCAGTGTACCAGTCAAAGAACAACAAGCAGTGTAGTTCTACTGGGATCTTCCCCCCAAGGAACTTCAGAAAATTCTCAAGGGACAGAAGTTCTATTGCACACAGGTGATATCTAAGTTCTCCTTGCTTACGGCACCTTACCTTTATCCATGGGTCAGTGTGTAATAGAAAAACATGAACCACCATTTTTTTCAACTGACAAAATGGCCCCAAGTACTTGGGTATAGGATAGCCTAGCTCCATGAAGCTGCTGAGTGGCTCTTGAAACATTTCTAAATATTGCTGCCAGGGTGGGTGGACAAGGGACTGGGCTCTGAAAGACTGTGATTGGCCTTCATCAGTTCCATTTATCTCTAGTGAGAAGAAAAAAAGCAAAAGGAAGATGAGTGGCTGGAGGAGGGAACTGAAGAGCTGCCGTTGCTGTCCATTATCATGGCCATAAGAAAATGAGTTTCATTTTGAAGACATTTTCCTTCCTGTACGTATTTTACAGGTATGAGTTGTGACTTCTATATCAGACATTTCTTTTTCAGTAGATTTTTGCTTGCTTTTAGGAGATAAAAACAACCCCGGCTGAACATGAATATACACACTCTACTTGGGTCTAGAGTGAGCCCGATGTGAGCCAACAGGCAAAGGAAAGAGGGTGAAAGCTGGGTCCCCTGAGGCTGATTGCCTCCCTGCCTGGAATTTGTATTGCCCAACTTTCCATGCCTTTTTTTTCCTGAGGCAACAGCACTCATAATTAAGGCAGATTCTCATGTACAGTACTGTGGGGCTGTTAGTGTGTCTGCCAGTCTTTGCTTTTCCTGAGAATCATTTCCCTCTTCCTGGAATTAGATCCAATGTTTAGGGTAATAGGGCAGCAGACTCAGAGACTCAGCAGACTCAGGGTTCTGTCCTTGGTGTCCTTGGCATTCCATTTGGCCAACCAGTCTCCTGGACCATTGTAGCAGGGGACCCAACTGCCTCTGACCCCTTCTTCCTTCCTGTCTCCAAACTGTCACCAACATAAGCTTATAAAATGTTTCAAATTTTATCATTCCTTCTGTTTTTAAAATGTCTTTGAATATTACACCACTGTGATTATTATTGAACAAATAAATTGGTCCTATTTGTATAAAATTTCCCATTTTCCTGTTTCTTGTCTTCAAGTCATCTTATCTGTCTTATTTCAATGTGTTCTTGCTTGTTGTTTCTCCCCTACCTTAATTTGGGTGAAATTTTAATATGAAAAAAGGTCTTAACTGTCTCCCAAATAATGGCCAACACTTGATGTTGAAAGAACTCAAATGTTGGAAAGATAGCTTTCTAACATGTGTCCCCAAGCCTGAGTCTGATACCGAGACTCATGGTGGAAGAAGAGACTCGACTCCAAGAAAGTATCTTCTTGCCCCTGCATAAGCATGGTGCATCCCTTTTCCCCCTCCATACACAAACACACAAAATAAATAAAGGTTAAAAAATTGAAAGTACTCAATAAATCAAATTCTCATGTCCATAATTATTTCATTTTTCACAAATGGCCTTTATTTTTATGATTACAAATGTAATTCATGCTTACTGTAGTGAATCTGGAAATTACAGAGAACAGTAAAAAGAAGAAAATTAAAAAAGAAAACACCTATAACCCACCACCTGAAGGCAAACACTGTTCATGTTATGTTCTAAGTACCTACACCTGTTTAGACACCACGCCCCTTAAGAAGAGCGCTGGCCATGAAGCACAACAGCCAAGGGGAGCAAGGGCAATTAACAAGTGAGGGGATCACCCAGAGGTCACAGCTAGAGATTCCACACTGAAGGACAAGGGCCGTAAGCAAGAGATCAGAAGCTAACAGCACAAGAACAAGCTAGGTACTATAACACTGTGGTGAGATGGCACTTGTCAAGGGTTTAGCCCAGTACCTGTCACGTGGCACATTACCAACAATTGTTAGCCATTACTATCACTACTATTAATATTATGGGTCAAAACAAATGGTTCAGGATCGAGACTATAAACAGGGCAAGGGCCCTTGAGACCCATCTAGATACAATGAGTTGGGGCATAGAAGGGTGAGTCTACTGGTTTGAAAGGGTGGTATAGGAGTGGGTATCTCTCTCTTTATAGGCTCCCCTGCCAGATGGAATGGGACAAGGGTTTCCTCAAGTTTGCCTGATGACACATGGCAAGACACTCTAAGGTGTTTTGAGGTAGGACATGATTTCTCCTGCCTAGACTTCTCCCTGGACCAAGAATTAGAACTGGCCTTGATGATGCTGATGCTGATGGGAGTTCAGAACCTCATACACCATACACTCTTATAGTCCACACTGATTGTCAGGGCAGGTCACAGGCATGTAGGTGAAAGAGAAGGTCAAGGCAATCCAAAAGGAGATAAAGTGGGATGCGCCTGGAGGGGAAGGCTGGAAGGTGAAGGCAACAAGGTTTATGATATAGTTCAATGGAATGGGTCCAGGGACCAGTCCTCAAGTTAGCAGCCAAGTCAGAAATCATGTAAGATTTGAGTACTACTTGTTGGTGGAGGCCTTCTGTGCGCTCTGTCGAAGGTGGTCATGAAGACTCTCTTGGGGGTCTCCATGTTCTTTCAAGTAGTAACAGCGTTTGGGAACATGTTGGTGCTGTGAGAAAGGGATAAAAAAAAGCATAAATAAGTACCACACTTCCTATGACCAAAGGCATTCTATCTGATTAAGTTCAGTAAGCCAGCAAGTCAAAGAACTGGCTAATTTATCAGATGTATAAAAGGTGTAGCCAAGTGCTAAGCTATTGAAATCCTCTGGTGACTAGAGTCCACAACACATGTGGCTATAAGTAGAACTCAGTCCATAAAAGAAGTCTCTCCCTTAGAACTTGACTTGCAATAAACAGAGAGTTGGTATTGAGCTTAATGAGTTTCCTTACAATTTGAATCCTTCAGTAACCTGAGTCAGACGTTGTTTCTGAAGACGGCTAATATAACCAAAATAACTTTATATCCACACTCACTGATAAAATTCTACATTGGGCTCTTACAGTCTAGATACTCAATGCCTCCCTCTTGGCTCCCCCTTAATTCAACATGAAAGACTATGGGTGTTAATCCGTCATCACTACTTCCTCATTTTTTCAATCAGAAACCATGAGCATATGTCCCCCTGATTACCTCCTCAGTCTGCTGCTGAGAGCCCAGTTCGTTCTCCATGGCCTCTTCATTGTTCCGCTTACAAGCTGTTGGCACAACTTGGCTTGAGTTGCCTGAGGAATCCTTCTCTTCAGCCAGCTGGCACTCAGTGTACAGAGACCTATCTATCAGCTCTTTTAGGCTGCCGGCCACCTTCAGGAAGATACGACCCATTTTGGTGGTAACAGCTTCCGAGAGTCCTTCCAGAAACCTTGTCCGTAGAATGGCATCAGACCAAGACAAATGTCGGGCCAGCAGTAGGAAGTCAGTGGCATACTGCCTGACTGACTTCTGGCCCTGCTTGGGATGGCAAAGAACAGCACTTAGGATGTCTATCTCAGACAGGGAGTCATATAAGCCCTGTGATCTTCTCAAGAAAGATTTATCTTCACTGGAGAGGGGGTTTCCTACCTCCATCTGCAAGATTGACCACCTCTCTGCTGCCCCCAGATGAAGAGACACCAGAAATGCCATTTTCTCAGAATCATTCAGAAAGCCCTTCATTTGCTTCTCCTCATCAATCTCCTCTGCATCTTCCTCCACAGAGGATGAGCCCCGGGCTGCTTCTTGTTCTTCTAAGAGGTAACAGAGTGCTGGGGTCAGCATACCAAAGGACGGCACTTCTTTTGGTGGTGGCTTCTTCATTTCAGGATTGGTGCCAGTCATGTGTGGTGTGCTCTTTGATCCAGGGGCTGTAACTCTGAAGTGAGAGGTTGATGCCTCTCCCGGGTCTGTGGCTTTGATATTCAGAGTGGGTGTCATTCCAAAGGCTGTTTGCGGTGTGGCCGTTGTTCCAGGTGCTGGGGTCCGCATTAGTGGTGTAGACATCTCTCCAGAGGTCAGAGCTGTCATTTGTGGCATTGTTATCCCTCCTGAGGCTGTGGCCCTCAGTGGTGGCATGGACATCATTCCTGAAGCTGAGGCTCTCATAAGAGATGTAGATACTGCTCCAGAGGCTGGGGTTCTCAGTGGGGGGTTAGCCATTCCCCCAGAAGCTATATTTGTTGGCTGTGGCAGGGATGTAGCTCTAGAGCTCACAGCTTTGGTTTGTAGAGTTGACATTGTCCCAGAAGGCATGGTTTTCATTTGTGGCATAGACATCTCTCCAGAAGTCATGGGTGACATCAAAGGCATGGGCATGGGTCCAGAGGCTGAAGCCCTCATTAGTGGCTTGGACATCTCTCCAGATGTCATAGCTGCCAATTGTGTAGTGGACATAATTCCAGGACCTGGAGCTCTCTCTAACTCTGTGGCCACAGCTCCAACAGAGGGTCTCCTAAGTGTTGTAGATATGGTCGAAGAGGCTGGTGCTCTGACTGGTAGTGGAGATATCCCTGCAGTGGCTGGAGCTCGAACTGGGAGTGGGCACATGTCTCCACAAGCTGTGGCCATCATTTGAGGTATGGACTTTGCTCTAGAAGCTGGGGTTCTCATCAGGGGCACAGACATCACTCCAGAATCTGTGGGTCTCGGGAGTGGTGTGGACTCTGATACAGGGACTGAAACCTTCATAGGTGTCATGGACATCATGCTTGAGGCTGTAGCTGTCATGTGTGGAGCATAAAGCGGGACTCTTGGAGATGGAGCTAACTCTCCAGAAGCTGGAGGTCTCATTAGTAGCAGAGGGCTCTCTCCACAGGATGAGGCTTTTGAGAGCAGTGTAGACATCTCTGATGAGTCTGAGGCTCTCATGAGGGGTGTAGACATTGTTCCAGAGTCCTGGGATCTCATCTGCATCCCTCCCAAAGCAATGGGTCGCATGAGTGGTGTGGACACCTCTCCAGAGTCTTGAATGTTTATCGGCTGACTAGGCATCTTCTCAGAGGCTGTGGCTCTCGTTAGTGATATGGATGTTGCTCCAAGACCTGGGACTCTTGTTAGAGACATGGACATGCCTCCAGAGGTGGTGGTTGTTATCTGTGATATAGACATTGCTCCGGAAACTGTGGCTCTTGTTAGTGGTGTGGACATGCCTCCTGAGGCTGGATCTGTCATCTGTGGCATGGACAGAGCTCCAGAAGCTGTGTCTTTCATTAGTGATGTGGGCATTGCTCCAGAAGCTGCAGTTGTCATTTGCTGCATGAACATTCCAGAAGCTTTGGATGTCATTAGTGGCTTGGACAATGCTCCAGAGCCTGGAGCTCTCATCTGTGACGTGGATATCACTCCTGAGGCTGTGTCTCTCATTAACAGCGTGGATGTTGATCCAGAGGTTTTGGCTGTCATTAGTGGGGTAGACATTGCTCCAGAGGCTGTGGCTCTCATTTGTGGTATAGATGTCAGTCCTGAGGCTGTGGTTCTTATTTGCGATGTGGACATTGGTCCAGTGACAGGAGCTCGAATTTTCTGTGTGGACATTGACCCACAGGTTGGAACTGTTGATTGTGACACAGACATTATTTCAGAGGCTGTAGCTATAACTGGCTGGGTAGACATCACACCAGAAGCTGAACCTCTTATTCGCTGTGCAGAAACTGCTCCATTTGTTGTGGTCTTCATAAAGCCTGTGGGCATTGCTCCAGGTGTTTTGGCCATTGTAAAATGTGTAGACATCATACCAGAGGCTGTGGTTGGCATTTGTTCTGTGAACATTGCTCCAGGGCTTGTGGCAGCCATCAGTGGAGTGGACATTAATCCAGAGCCTGGAACTGTCTTTTGTGATATGGACATATTTCCTGAGGCAGGGACTCTCATTAGCTGGATGGGCATTGCCCCTGTATCAGAAGCTCTCGCGGGAAATGTGGACATCAATTCAGTGGCTGGGACTCCTATTGGTGGAGCAGACATGATCTCAGAGTTGATATTTTGTGTTATATCTGGGGACATCACTCCAGAAGCAGATGCTGACATCAGTTGAGTGGGCATCACTGTGGAGGTGAGGGCAGGCATTAGCAGTGGGGACATTGCCTCGGCATCTGGGGCCGCCTTTGGTAATGTGGCTATTTCACCAGTATCTGGGATTGACAGCAGTGGTGTGGACATTGCTCCAGGGCCAGAAACTGGCATAGGCAGTGAAGACATGACTCCAGAATCTGAGCCTGACATGAGCACAGTGGGAATTCCTTCGGAGTCTTGAGGGTCTGTTGGCTGAGTTGATGTCTCTCCAGAAGCTAGGGCTGACATTATCAGAGAGGATATCACTTCAGAGTCTGTGCCTGACATTAGCAGTGATGATATCTCTCCAGAAGCTAGAGCAGTCATTAGCACTTTGGACATTGCTTCGGTGTCCTCATCTGTAATTTGCAATGGGGACATTGCTTCAGAGCCTGGAGCTGTCATTGGTGGTGTGGATGCCACTCCAGGGTTCATGTCTGGAATCAGGAGTGGGGATATCTCACCAGGATCTGATCCTAGCATTAATGATGCCTCAGAGGATGAAGTACTCATTACAGGCGCGGATATCATTCCAGACGACGGAACTGGCATCGCCAGTGGTGAGATCTCTGCAGAATCTGGTGCTGCCATTAGTGCCGCAGACATTGTCCCAAAGTCAGGAATTGACATCATCCCTGGAGACATTAACCCATAGTCTGAAGTAGACAACAATGGGGACAGTGTCCCAGAATCTGAGGCCGGCATTAGCAGTGGGGACAGTGCCCCAGAGTCTGAGACTGGCATTAGAAGTGGGGACAGTGTTCCCGAATCTGAGGCTGTCATTAGCAGTGGAGACAGTGTCCCGGAGTCTGAGGCTGACATCAGCTGTGGGGACAGTGTCCCAGAGTGTGATGCTCCCATGACAGGTGTGGTGGACAGACTGTCAAAGGCTGGGGATGTCATCAGCTGTGTAGATGTCCCTCCAGGATCGGAGGCTGAAGTTGAGACGATAGGCAACTGCAATTGAGAATGCAGGAGCTGAACCTCTGCTCTGGTCTCTGCCATTGGTCTAGAGAAAGCTGCTCCCCTGTTTTGGGGGTCACCACTTTCCTCCCTCATCATATTGTTGAATCGTAATGAATGTAATGGTATTGACATATCTGCCATGGCTACAGGACAGGGTGGACAGAGACTCTAATATGTTGACATCGGAGCCCTGGTGAAGTCCACAAATCAGGGAAATCTGTAAATGAGAAAGAAGTTTAAAGGTCAAAAGCCAGTTTCAGGAATATATTCCAATAATTCATAGAGACCCACTTTTATGAGTTGTCGTGTTGAAAGTTATTCTATCAGTTTGAAGAAACCATATAGCAAATGTCCCGAAAGCTGGAGCAACTTTCCCTTCAAACTGTCCCTTTTGAACCAACCCACCCAGTTACACAGCACAGCCTCCATGTTTATAAATGTCAATAGCAGGCTCCCAGAGCCATGGAAGCCCTGTCTCAAATGAGTCAGCAGCACCACCTTCTGGCCAACTGCAAGAAGTTCAGGTTCTTTGGTTATGCTTTTCCACTACAGAAGTCAAAAGTCAACCCAGGTACTGGTAAGCAAGGAACAGAGAGCCATTTACTCCAGGATAATGATTAGTTCCTAATGCTCATTGAATCTCACCAATGGTTTAACCCAGATTTTACTACTCTGATATCCTTGAATGTCTTTCTCAGGAAAAGTAGCACATTAATCTGATCAATGACTAAGAATGGCATTCTACAAAGTAAAACTTTGCTTAATTTTATCATCATAATCACTATTAATAACAGCCACCAGTACAGTATTGGTTACTTAGTAGGTGCATGAATGGCACTGAACTTTAACTGTACAAAACTTTAAACTGCCTGGGATATGCAAGACTTTGCGAGCCTTGGGTCTTAAATAGTATTATTGTTCTCATTGTACCAGCTTTCTAAGATTAGCAAAAGTTGTAGCTACAATAGGGCCACGGTGGTGGTAACATTGTATCTTTTTGCCTCTTCACCCTTTTTTTGAGGTTGCATGGTCTTTGGTATCACTGAGAATGCATGTAGTTGATTGTCTGACATCCTAGACTAGAAATCAATGCAGTGTAGTCCTATACTCGATGTGCAGAAAATTCAGGTTTCCCTGTTGGCCTGAGAGGGGACTGGTCGCTCCCATAGCCTCACCTCTCTGACCTGCTTCCAGAAGCAGCCACAGAAGGGGTGCTTTGACACGCAAGTTGTAGATCCATGCAGACAATCACATAAGATTAGCATATCCCCATAGACTGATCATGCCCTGAAAAGAAGACTGGATAGTTTGGGGCAATGTCAAAGAAATCATCACTCTCATGGCTTTGTGCCTCCGTCACAATTGGAACACAGACAGAAGAAATACCAACAGCAAGCAGTACTTGAGCATGCACTAGCTGGTAGTTCTGTGAGGCACTTTCCCTGCTTCACATCATTTGATCAACACAGTAAGCCTCTGAGATTTGGGGCAGGCCTCCTCACAGCTGGGAGAATGAAGACACACAGAAACTGGATCATTTGCGTGTGGTTTGAGAGAGTCTCAGACCCATCCAGTTCTATAGCCCCCCCTACTCCTCACTAAGAGGCTGCAATGATTCACTTCTTCCCATTCTCAACTTCATTGACTAGATAACCTCAAGGTAAGGTATCAAAGAAATAGTAGAGTCCTGCTGACACTATTTACCTTAGTCTTAATTCATGCCATGGGAAAGATGAGCCAAAAGATCCTCCAACTCCACCTTCCATCACCAAATAATCCCCGCACATACCACAATTTTCCACTTAGGCACAACTCAGAAAGATCTTACCTTACCAGTGACAGAGAAGAGTGATAGTGTCCTTTGCACTGCAGCTCTTTTGGTCTGACCAATTGACTTATACCCCGTGCCAGTTCATTACAGCAAGGCCCAATACCCGCAGCTGTTCTCGGCAATCTCCCTTAGCTATCCCCTGCCACACCCCCCTCTTGCCCGCCAGCCAGCCTGCGGGCCCGCCCACCCGCCCCACTGCTCTTGACTTGCTAGTGCATGCTCTGGCTCTCTGGTCCCAGATTCCTGCCTCTATATAGGCTCTGACATTTGCCTCTGGCCGCCTTTCGCTTGTCAACCCTCCAGAAGCTCTGCTTTAGCTCTCGGCCTCTGCAACCCTACCCGTTTGCCCCTTGCCTCCAGGAATCCCAACAGCCTCTACCTCACATCACTATGGCCATCTCTGGCTACCCCCAAAGAGAAGAGAGTGACACAATTCAAGAAATGAACCAGTAAGTGTCCTTGCTCAGGAAATGAAACGTGCATGCTCTCTGCAACTGGGCAGGCACAGCTACTCTGGGTCCTAGACAATGCAACTGGCCAGCCCAAGAAGTACTGGCTCAGTGTTAGAGGTAAGGACTAGGGCCGAGGATCCAGAGAAGTAGCATCAGTGAAACTCAAGGAGGTTCAAGGGTAGGAAAAGGAGGGTGGGAAGAGACTGGGTGGTGGGGGCTGGGAAGTGAAGACTTTAACAGTGACCCACGGTCATGGGAATTTTTAAAAGCCAATATGCCCTGAGGACAGAGACAAAGAGAAATCCGGTAGCCACTGTCCATTGTGCAAATCTAGGACTCAACAGGAAGCTCCATATGTTTCAAACAGCTGGCAAGAATGTCAGACTTGAGTATACCCAGTGAGGACCCATCTCATATAAACAAGTGTGAAGTCTGCTTTCTAGAAGGAGGGCACAAGGTCAGAGAAGAGGTACAGAAAAGTAACCAGAGTGCCCCCTCTCTCTTTTATTTTTTCAGTACTGAGGATACAACCCTGGGCCATATACATGCTACCTACCCAAGCACTCACTATTGGGACATACCCCCAGGCCCACTCCAGACTTTTAGATTAGTGCTACTTTACCATCCATTTAGTCTGGGGACAGAATTGACCATTACATTCGAGACAGTCAAAGCCTTCAGGTGAAGTTCAGGGAACTCGGGTTTATGAGTCAGAGTCATTTAAAATTATCAACCACCAGCAACTCATAATAAGCAGCAGACCATAATGAGCCTTTGGGCTACGTACTAGATGCATATTACATTATCTAGGCTTCCCAGCAACATGCGGAAGGTAGGTACTGCTGCCTGTTCTCATTTTACAAATGGAGAAACAGGCTTGAAAATATTTCTACGACCAACGTCGCAGAACTAGTCCTAAGGGGAAAAGCTGAGTTTGAACCCTTGATCAATTTGCTTCTGAAATCATTTTCTTTTTACAACCCATAATGAGAAACACTCAAAATGATTAGAAACACTCACTGCCGGCTGCCCACCCACCAAAGAAGGGAAGTTTCTAACCACAAGTGGTTAAATTGTAGTAGTAGCGGTGGCGGTGGTGGTGGCAGTCACAGTAATACCTGGCCTTGAATACCCTTCTCATATGTCGACAATTGTGCTAAGGGCTTCAGGAGTGTTATCACATTTGCTCTGTACAACTACCCTCTGAGCTAGACCCTTGTAGTTCCCAGTTTGCTGACAGGAAAGTTGAGCTTCAACAGGTGTTATAGTTTTAAATGCGAAGTGGTCCCTGACACATCCGTGCATTTGAACACCTGGTCACTGGCTGGTGGAACTGTTTTTGGAAGATTCTGGAATATCTAGGACACTGGTGGTGGGCTTTGGGGGTGAGCTCTGCCCTTTTTCCAGCTTTGCTCTCGGCTTCCTGACGCATTCAGAGGTGAAATGCTGCCACCTCTGCAAGGTGTGGGCCCAGCCACCATGCCTTCCACATGCTGACATTCGGACCCCTAAAACTGTCAGTCCTCTTAAGTTGCTTCTATCAGGAATTTTGTCGGTGGCAAGAAAAGTAACTAACACAGTAGGTAGCATGACAAAAAAAAAAAAAAAAAAAAAAAAAAAAAAAAAAAAAAAAAACACCAGCTCTGCCTGACTCAAGTTCACTACTCAAAATGAAACTTTCCAATCAGTCTCCCCTGGATGAAAAAACAGTCATAGAAAATCCATTATAAGGTCGGAAAGAAGGCTCAGTAGGTTAAGAAAAAGTACTTATGATACAAGGCTGATGGCCTGAGTCTAATGCCCAGAACCTGAGGTAGAGGGAGAGAATCAACTTCAAAAGTTATCTTCAGACCTCTATATGTGCTCCGTGGAAACATACATGCCTGCACTCACAACACACACACACACACACACACACACACACACACCAATAATAATAATAATAATAATAATAATAATAATAATAATAAAATTTAAAGGAAAACCCATTATTTTAATAATGGCTTCATAACAACCACTGTTATTATTATAGCTAATGATTAAAGCTGCGTCCGGTCGGTACTAAATGCTTTACTTACTTATGTGACCTCATCTAATAAAGCATCCCTGTGAAGTAGGTGCAATTATCACCTTCATCATCCAGATGAGAACCCAAAAGCACAGAGATGTTAACTAACTTTCTCAATATCACCCAGCTACAGAGCTCAGTTATCTGTGAGAACAAAAAGTTGGAAATACCCTGAATACCTGATGTTAGAAGACAATTGCTTAGTGATTAAATGAGTCCTGGTACAATTTAGCAGCCCCTAATGTAGCTATTAAGAATTAAAATCTAATGTGTGCTTAATAACAAGATCCTTTTAAATAAAATAAATGTGTGTGTTTCTACTCTGTGTGGGATTGTACACATGTGTAATCCCAGAACTCAGAAGTCTGAGTCAGGAGGATTGAAAATTGGAGGCCACCTGTAAAAGTGAGGCTTGTCTCAAAAGAAGAAAAACACAATTGTTTTAAATGTGCATATTTTAATAAAACTTGGTGAAATTATAGTATAATTACATTTCCCCAGAAATTTGAAGTCTAGAACAGCATATCCAAATATTAACAGTAACTATACTTGAATGGCAGAATTACATAATATTTTTATTTTCATTTTCTTTATCTGCATTTTCTCATTTGCCCAAAGTTGTCCCATTATATTTATTTGCAAAGGAAATTTAAAAGTTAGTTTCCCTTTTTAAACATGTTTGATCCCCTATGGTTCTACATCTAGCCCTTTCCAGTCCTCTGCATACACTCTCTAGGGATGCCCCAAATTCCCCCACAAGCAACCTTTCTCCCCCAAAATCATAAGTTGCATTACTTGGGCCTTTCGTTCTGAAGTGACCTCTAAAATCCTGTCTTGAGTGACTTGTTATTATTCAGTTTTTCTTGATTTGTATTTAAGATGATTCCTCCTAACTTTTATTCATGTTTAATATGCAAGTAATCTAGGAATTTATTCCTAGGATTAAAAACTTGAAATCTCAGTCCAGATAAAGTCCTGAGACTACTCCACCCTGCTTCCCCACAAGTCCCACTGCTCGGTCTGCTCATAGTTGGGTGTGTCTCCTTCCAAACTTTTTCTACTTGCAATGGCATTCAGAGTTTATATCATGCAATTGCTTGCAAAAACCCAATGTGTGCAAAAAGTTACAGCTAGAAAACCATGCTGGCCACTCCAGGGTTTCATGTTCTGATCCACGGTAACAATTTTCATCAGCTTGCTTCTAAGAAGACTACTGAGAGAGGGCTCTTGCATGCTCAGCCCATTTGGGCATAGAGTTCTGTTTTATTAAAGTAAAGTTCTGTTTTATTAAAGTAAAGAGTCTCTAGGAACACAGAAAAGGAAGGCCTCCTAAGGCAGGAAACATCCACAGATTGCTGCTTAGCATCTCTCAGATCCCTCACATAGCCACCCAGTCTGTGCTGATCAATACAGCTAGGAGATGTCAAGCTCCTGCTGCCTTGTAAGAGGTAATTGAGTTTGGAGGATTGCAAAGCTAACTGCTTGGGGAAAATAAGAATAAACACGAGACTGTTCAATATGTCAACAAATAGCTTTCTAGATGTTGAAAAATAAGTCTGCCTCTAGATTCCCAACAATATCTCCCCCAGCCCTAGGGAACACACACCCAGTTACCTGAAAACAGAGAAGCTTAAAGATCAATCTCTAGTTCAGTGTCCCCTACCTTCCCCCATCATTCAGGAGAGAAACACACACACACACACACACACACACACACACACACACACACACACACACACACACTATTTTGCACTCCATCAGCTTTGAAATGCCCACCCAGTTCTTTGTAAATGAAGTGGGGAATGGCTAGCATTTACTAAGTTCTTGCTATACCAGAAACTGTGCTAAGAATTTTACATACACCATATTATTTTATTGCACAAAATACCAATAAAGTGGAGGAGTTGCCCCCATTTTATAAATCAGCTAAAGAACTGAAGTAGAGAGAAATTAAAATGCAGTAACTTACCTTGGCTCTTACAGCTGAGAGGGAGTGAAGCTGAGCTTGTCACTCGGGTCCGTCTGACTCAGCCAGTGCTCTTAGCTCACAGGAGAGTCACACACTGTCTTCGAGTCTCTGAAGGGCTGTCATATGGAAGAGAGGGTAGGTGTGTTCTGGGTAGCTCCAAAGAAAAGGATTTGACTGTTAGTTGGGAATCACGCTTTCATTGGATGTGCTGCAAATTCCCCCAAACAACATGTATATGCATGTCCAACTCTATAGGGAAAAGAACGTTAGAAGAGCAAACGGAGCTGCCTTATATTAGGTGCCGTCCTGAAGGATCTGTGGAATCAGATGGAACCGGGGGGGATACAAGAGGACTGCAAATGGGCAGTGTCCCAATTTTCTTAAATAAGGAAACTACATAACAGTGTACTGTAAACTCCAGAGCTGGAAGCTTCGTGTCAATCCTTGGAGAGATTCTGCTGCAGATTATGAAGCAGGTAATTTATAAGCACTTACGATGTAAGTGGCATCAGGAGGTACCTAGAGGTACTCCCAGGACTGTACAAATGAGACCAGGCTCCCAGACTATTTATGGCAATTGCAAAGCCCCAAAAGTGGGAGACTGACATTGGGTTACTAGATTTTTCTTTTTCCAAGGAAAGGCATTAAGAAACAAAACAATCCCAAATTATCATTTCCTAAAGAGAAAGGACTTTCTTTAAGACACCACAAGAAAAGGAAATAATCTCAGAATAAAAGACAGTCCTTAACACAATACATTTGTCTCCTTTTTACAAATCATTTATTACATAGTCCTCAGGCTTTCTCCTTGCGGGGGTGGGGGGGGGGGGGTGGGGGCAGGACACACTGCTGCAGTATTCCTGGAGGATGGGAACTTGTCCAAGGACCTGCTTTAGGGAGTCACTCCGAGTTAAAACATCAACGTATATAAGATCCGATACCTGTAAGACAGGAAGTCTTTCTGGCCAGGAGAGAGGAGAAGAGTTTGACCTTAGCCTAAGTAAGGACATAAGCATAGATAAAGTGTACACAGGAACAAGCCACAAAAAGAAAAGTTGCCAAGTGGGAAGGAAAGCCCTGCTGAGGCGGGACTTGGCCAAGACATTTGACCTGTGCTACCCCTTGGACCATACAGCTCCCTTGTAAGAATAAGTGCCTGATGCCATTAAGCATTTCTACCACAAATTAGTTTCTGACCTGATGATCTCCAAGCAACCTTCAGACTATTACTTGTCTTCTCAGGGCCGACTTTCTAAAAGCAGAAGAAAAAACAGGCGAAATACCAGTTTCCAGAGCTGGGGGCTAGTTCTAGAAGGGATTCTCTTGCTGGGGTCCTCTCCGGTTCCACATTTTTACATATGCTGTAAATAAAGGCACTGATGGGATTCTTACATAACTTTTCTAGAGCTGAGAAGCATAGCAGAAAGGTTTACATTTGAAGTCCCGTGGTTTACAATATGTCTGTCTGCATTTGGTCATTTTCTCTCATGGTCTTTGCTGCCAGTTCACTAGGCTCCAGCAGTTTGTGCTTCTCACGTAAAATCCTTACAGACCATATGCTCATTGCGAGCACTGCACCCTGAATAACAGATACCTTACTCTACACAGCAACTGAGCAACCATTCCATTCCTGTCCTCAGCTTTCTAGCGACCAGTAGCATGGTACAGTCCCTTGATGAGCAAAGGGGGGAGACTGGTATCCTCCTATTTGAAGAATCCACCTCCTTTCTAAATGCTTTTAAATTGCATTTTGACGATGTCTATTGACGCTGACCTTGTTTCTGAAGGTAACCACAACACAGAATACACTGCTTGCTATATCCTCTAAAACTGCATTTCTCAAAATAAAGGTATGGTGGGGAGCCTTGCATCAGTTTCCCCACAGGAGGACTAGAAAAAAATGCACATTCAGTTGGCAGGGGGCTCCGTTTTAAAGAATCAGACACAGGAAATAAGAGGTGAGGCCAAGAAATATGCAGTTTAACAGATGATCCCCAAATCCCTTGAGCTTAAGAACCATCTCTCTGATTGGGGGTGGAAGTGCGTATTGTTTTGTTTTGTTTTGTTTTTTAACACTAAGTCTTGTTATGTAGCCCAGGCTGGCCTCAAACTCATGATGATCCTCCTGCCTCCGTATCCTGCATGATGGGATTACAAGTGTGAGCCACCATGCCCAGATAGGACATGTTCTCTGATCATACAAGCCTGAGCTGGAACCCCAGTACTTCTAGCCACTTCTTAATTATTCAGACTCATCCCAGACCTATCTCATACCTCTTTAAGAGCTTTAAAGAAAACAACATGTATAGAGTGTCTGGCACATGAACTGAAGCTCAGTGACCTCCTTCCTTCTTTTTCTTCAGAGACTCTGCCGCCTGCCTTCTCTCTCGGCTCAGCTTCTGCCTCTGTTGCCAAACTGCTCACTCTTTCGAGGTCTGGTATTCAAACTCCCCGAGAGAGAGAGTCTCATTGGTCCAATTTTAGTTACCACTGTACTTGGTGGGCAAAGTTGTCATCCCTGGTTCCATCATAGGTGGCTTGCCAGCCTATAGAATGACTGCTCATGGATCAGGTGCCCATTCCCTGCTCAATCAGCTCTTGGCTGGGGGGAGGGGGAGAACAGAATCACGTGGTACCAAACATAGCCACCTATTCATAAGAAACTGCTACTTCCCTCAGCTAGGGTCTGTGGATAGAAACTCCTCAGAAGGGGCCTGTGGGTGTGGCAGGAATTCTGAGGCTTAGCCGGTCCAGCACACCTAGGCTGCTCATTTATCCAGCCTGCCAAAGGAATGAAGCATTCAAGTTAACTGAAGTCTCTTTTTAATTCCAACTTTTCATCTCCACCAGGCCAGAAACAGCAGTTAAAAAAAAAAAAACTAGAAAAAAAATTAGACCACAGTTGAGGGGGAAAACTTAACCCTAAAAAGATCTGTTTCTAGACGCATTTTTCAGTTTCCAAAGCACTTTCAAATCTATTTCCTCATTGCAGAGCTTGCGGACTGGCAGCCACAGGCTAGGTCCAGACTGAAGACAGATTTTATTTGACCCATACAAGGTTTTTTTTTTTTTAACATTTTTTAATTAGTTGCCAACACTTAAAAGTCAGAAGATTTCCCATAAAACCCTGGATTTCAGGCTTCTCTGGGAAAAACAGAACGATTTAGATCCTCATTCCGTCATGACAAGGGTCAGCTGGGACTGTGAAGGCTGCTCCTTGTGGATGGGGCATGAGCTCACTGTATCCTCCCAGCCACCTCTACTTTCTCACAGTGACCTACTTGGCCCCTGAAGGCATTTTTTTCAGTTACGTAACTTGAGAGAGTTTATTCTGTCCTTCCAGCACAGGGGTCCTGTGGATGGGACATGGGTTGTCAGCCTTCACAGCAGACATCTTTACCCACCGAGCCACCTCGATTAGGTGGATAAAGTGGTAACAAGCACAGGTTCTTAATCCTGACTGGGTTGGAATCTCTCCACTCTGGGTTGGAATCTCCACTCTGCTCTTTGTGTTTGGGACTCTGGGCAAGTTACTCACCTCGTCAGACTTTTCTCATCTGTAAAATGGGAGTGATAATAATATCATCCAACTCAAAGACATATTGGGCCAACTAAATGATTAAACATGTACTTAGAACACTTGCTGACTAGCTGGAACATGAGAAGCATTAAATACCTATCCAATTCCCCCCCCCCTCTCTCTCTCTTTCTCTCTCTCTCTCTGTGTGTGTGTGTGTCTGTCTCTCTATGTCTCTCTCTGTCTCTGTCTCTCTGTCTCTCTCTGTCTCTGTCTGTCTGTCTCTCTCTCTGTGTCTCTGTCTCTGTCTCTCTCTGTCTCTGTCTCTCTCTCTGTGTCTGTCTCTTTCTCTCTCCTTCTCTCCCTCCCTCCCTCACTCCACCTTCAGTACATAGAAATCCTCAGCCTCAAGTAAGAGTCTGGCTACGTTGCCCAGAACCAGCCTAGAACTTGAGATCCTCCTGCCTTGCCCTCCAGAGTTCCTACAGATAGGCTTGTTCCACCAGGCCGAGCTTTCTACTAATTTCTACTCTGGCCTACAATTTCTTTATGTGCCTCTCTGACATTTCAAAGTTTCTGAAAGCTAACATTTTTGTAGCAAGCTCATTTGGTAGCAAAATTGGACCTGGATTGATACTAAGCTATTTATCCCATTTTGAAATATTGGTATGTTTTCACAAGGTACTCTCTCAGATTCCATTAGTGGGTGTTGCTTAGTATATATTTTATACACCAAATTGCTTTACAAAAGTCCCCAAATTTGGAACGACAAAAAATTGATTATGACTAGTTTGTATACCTACTTAGTAGATTGGAAAACCCAGCTAGCTCCAGAATAGTAAGTAAGCAACCTTCCCCAAACCTTGTGACTTAAAAGCAGAAACAATTTGGAGCACTAGACACAAAGCCCACCATGGCTAGTACTCTAGTATGTCCTGATGTCACAATACACATATTGATGTAGGTAGCAGCTACCAGGCAGGCTCTCCTGAAGAGCTGAAGACTATCACCATTTATTGAGAGTGGCCAAGTCTACCCTGGTAGCATTCTTTCATCTCTTTACATTAATCTTTGCTATATACCATTGGGATAAAATTGGGATATAAATCAGTGTCTTCTTTTTAACAGAAGAGGAAACTGAGGCCCAGAGAAGAGCCATAATTTACTCAATTTCACACACACACACACACACACACACACACACACACACACACACACAAAAAAAAAAAAAAAAAAAAAAAAAAAAAACCAGGCAGAACTGAAACTCAAAATCCAATTCTGTGCTTTTCCTCATTAAACCCATGGCCAGTCCAACAATGACACACACTGACCTTTTAACATACTGACCCTCACACTCTGCAGACAGTCCTAAAGTTTGCAACATACCTGATGAAAGGAGAGTTTCCCAAGATCTCAGCAAATATAAAAATGAGACAGCATGTCTGGGTGGACCTCATCCTTCCCTGTTCCATAAGCAGCAATGTGCAGACACCATCCAGTCAGAAGCCAGGGAGGGGAGATTTCTCAAATCCCAAGAAAAATCACAGAGACCCTACTGTTTGCTCTTCTCTGTTGATTTTTAAGAAGCTGACATTTACTTATGCCAAAGGCCAAAAGAAATGAAAAATCTACTGGAAAGGGAATTTCATCAGTCATGAAGCAAATATGTTCAAGAAACCTTTGCACAGTATCAGTTCCCTTGTTTGAAATGCAGAAAGCAGAGCAGAGCTCTTTCATATTGTTAGCGCATCAGAGACTGGGGCATGAAAGCAGCATGTCCAGGACCTCTTTGTAAACCCCCTGCCTCAGCACAGGGGAACTGTGTGACATCGACTTCAACTTGACAAGTTGGAAACAAGAAGGCAGGCCATAACCCGGGTGACCTTGTGTCACTCCTAAGCTCAAGGTTGGAGTTCCTGCTACCAACAAATCCTTACTTTGATCACACACCCACAGCGACCCAGATCTTTGAATTAAGCAATTCTTTCTCAGGTTTCTGCGAGGCATTGGAAGCCTGAGCTATTTTGGGACACTTTCTCTGCTGTGGATGCCACTTTCGGAATACGCCAGGAATATGCTAAGGACCTGGAGCACTGTATCCTGGACCTGTTTGGGGATTTGTTCTCTCTCTCTCTCTCTCTCTCTCTCTCTCTCTCTCTCTCTCTCTCTCTCTCTCTCTCTCTCTCTCTCTCTCGGCTGATCATCTGGAGGACAGTCACGCCTGCCAACCTAATCCCAGAGGCCTGACTACCTTGCCCAGCCACAGGCTCCAAGAGGCAATGTGCCTGCCAGCACCCTCACGGTAAGGGACATGGCTGCACCAAGCAGCCTGACAGGATGGAAAGCATCCCAAGGGATGGTCTAAGTTTGGATGCAGGCTGAGAAGACAAGATTGAGGGGGGGTAGGGAAGATGAGGGTTTTTTTTCTTTTTCCCAAACATCTTCTTCCTACGATCATCACTTCCCAGTCTGATGCAACTGACTCGGCAGGCATTCGGGAGCCTGTGAGCTCCATTTTCCTCTTCTAAAATCTTCTGCACCTGTAAGTACTGGGGCTCATTGATGTTCATGCTGACTTCTGGGGAGGGGAGAGGAGGAAAGAGTGTGGAGACGGTCATCATTATCTGATTCAGTGTGGGCAAGTCCAAGGCTTTAGAAGAATGTCTGATAGACACCCCCCCCCCCACTTTCCCTGCCACTGAACTGCTTCTTAGCTTGGAAACTGAAAATGCCTCTGTTCTTTCCCTTGCCTCCCCCCCCCCAAGCATAACAGAAACCCCACCTGTCCTTTGGGGTACTTTGTTCATCAGTACGGTTCACACCTGATTTTTTTCCCCTCATGTTGGATTTAATGGCAAGAGTGTACCCTTGGCATTTGAATTTCTTAAATGCATCCACAGCTACTATTGTGGGCACAGCCCCTGCTGGTTTCTCCATCTTTTATGCAGTAATTTGCTGAAACTGTGAAAGATGTTGTAAGCGGGAGGGTATAAATGAGAATCTAGAAACTCCTCCATGGTAAAAAGGAAGAGCGATGTGGTTGATTCTCAACGCAGTTAGAAATGCTGCCACAATGGGGAGGCTTCCTGCTAGGCAGCGAGATGGTCCCTTTCAGTGCCTTCATATTTTAATGGGGAGAGAGGCCAGAATAGCTGCTAGCTCCCCAGGAAAGGAGCATTTCGGATGCTTTTACCACTTTACTGAGAGTCTGGACATTGTTTCCGGCCAGCTTATCAGTCCCTGAAGCACCTACAGTGGCTGCCCCAAATGGGGGAGGAGAGAAAGAGAGAGAGAGAAGAGTGTCAGCCCCTCTATGCCTTCTCTGGGGGACTGCAGGAGTTCTCAGAAAATAGCCCCAAATGGCAAAACCAGGCCCTGCACATCCCCCTTCCCTCAACACCAGACCAAATCCTTCTCAAGGTACAGAATCAGTTGGGAGGTGAGACTGAAATCTGTCTTTGCTGAGAAGCAATTTGAAGAACCTGCCTATGTCTTAGTGTCCATCTGCGCTTCTGTAACAACTCTCTCAGTGACATAAGAATGAGTTATTTCCATATGGATGCAACACTGTCCTTAATCAAAGAAAAAAATCATAAGATGTCTCTTAGATCAGGCTGGCTCCTTCAGTGTCCATGATAGGCAAGGTCAAAAGCTTCTTTCTTAGGCTCTACAATCAGTGTTGGGTACAACGTGGGTTTAGAGAGAACGATGTTGATATCTGGACTGGAGAAATCCAGAAGAGATATGTACAGTGTGTATAGTATAGAGAAAGAATTACTTCACAGTGTACAGAAAGAAGCTAGCCTCAGAAAGAACTTGTTTTGCCCTTGGCTGCTGCCTGTTGGTATAGTCTTTGGGATCTCATGAAGTTTCTCTTTTTGAGTAAATGATACTCAGATCCCAGAAGTTGACTGTCAGGAAGGCTTTGTGTCAGAGCCTTGAGTGGTAGTGGTAGCCTGAATCTTATGTCTACCTTGTGGCATTCCAAGAGCATTAAGAATGTTCCCCCTGGCCTTCAAAATCCTCCCTATCCACTCCCAGGAGCTTGGAAAGTCTTAAGTGCATAATTCCTTTAACCCAGGACTTTGGCATCAGTTGAAATGCCAACCTCCTGGGAGGGGCACCTGTTAACCTCATCTGGGTAAATCCCATTCTGACAGTAGACTTTGATGGAAGGGAGAAGAGCAAAGAGGAGGGGAGCTGAGATCACTGTGGGTCAAAAAGACCCTGCATTCAGAAACCTGGGAGCAGAACCCAGACTACAGCCAAAAGCACCAAGAAGCTCTGCTGGCAGAGAGAGCTCGAGTCTTGTTCAAATCATGACGATTTCTTGAAGCTGAGGCTTAAAGTTTGGTGAATCGCAATCTACTGAATGAAATTGGCCTCCAGAAAGAGTCTCATCTATGGGAATGGATTAATAGGTGGGTGAACTTCTTGCAAGTTTATCTTCAGAGTGAGTTACCTGAGCCACTTGAACACAGGCTGCCAAAATTGTGAAGAGCCTGAGGCTAAGAAGTAAAACAGAACTAGTATTCTGCAATGTTTATCCTCGGGAGGCCAAAGGAGAGGAACCCACAGGAATTCGAGTGTGGGACCTTGTTGTCATCCTTTCTCTACTCGGAGACCAGCACTAAGACATACTGTCCAGGAATTTCATTGTCGATGCAACGGCACATATGGCTTAACGAGCCATAAGGGGCAAAGAGAGGTTCCCTCAGGATAGCCATAGGTCAAGGATTAAGCACCCCTCTATCTCTGTGTAGGCTCCTTTCTAGGCCATTGTGAATGAAGTGGCACCACCTGAGTTCAAATCTTAACTCTTCTGCTTCCTAGCTTGGTGGCCCTGGTCAGGACATATAACCGATTTCCGTCTCATCTGCAAAGTGGACACGGTAATGACAGGATCTGTTGGGTAATGTTGTAAAGGCTAAATAAAACAATGCCTGTGAAGCCTAAACAGTGCCTAGTACAAAGGACGCATTTAACAAAAGTCAGCAATGATGAACATTTCCTGCTTTCTGCTGCATGCGTCATTATCTGAGAATGTCTCACAGCAACAGTCAAGGTGGTCCCCGCTCAGTACAGTTCTAACAGCACTAACGGTTGCTGGCTCATCATTTTCTTCATTTAAAGTGGCACGCTTCCT